TCCTTGTCCTAATTTAGTTGTTCAGGCTCAGGTGAAACCTCTTATATCTTTGTCCTAATTTAGTTGTTCAGGCTCAGGTGAAACCTCTTATGTCTTTGTCCTAATTTAGTTGTTCAGGCTCAGGTGAAACCTCTTATGTCCTTGTCTTAGTATAGTTGTTCAGGCTCAGGTGAAACCTCTTATGTCCTTGTCCCAATTTAGTTGTTCAGGCTCAGGTGAAAACTTTTAACTCCTTGTCCTAATATAGTTGTTCAGGCTCAGGTGAAACCTTTTAACTCCTTGTCCTAATATACGTGCTGGAAAGTAGTATGCTGGTGGTAGAGCGTCTTTAACACTGTCCATTTATTTATACATATTTTATACGCTTTAAATGAATCATAATAATATGTTTTAATACGTAATATTAGTATCCTTCTGTTGTTAATGTAACACTAGACCCTTCGTTCTTTAAACTTTGGCAAGGTTGAAAGTAGAGATACAACTAAATGACCTGTACCGATCATGCGCAGTAAGAACACAATGCTCATTTCATTTCTCTTTGTCATTTATGTTCGACTGTAATAATGTAATCTGTCCATCAGTTGTTGTTATTAACTTTGTTACCAGAAGTAATGAGATTTGACCCTTATAAAATGAACAAAGTTTGGTGGTCAATATGAATACAAAGTTCACATATTAATCTATATAGTTGACCAATCTAATATTACCATGTACTGATTTGTATTTATATAAGGTTAACTACAATGCCCTGTGAACGTAGTCGCTCCAGCACAATTTATATATTGTTTATTATCTTAACGTCTATATTTTTATTGATTGATTCAAATCTGGTTAATGAAGCTAGAGTTTAGACATATTTATTATTTGTTTTTTATGATGATTTGTAGGCTTTTACAGAAGAAGAAAAAGTGTTGTATATGTCCAGTAGCGCACAGACGTGTGTACGGACCGTTAATCTATATAACAGTGAGAATAAGGTGTTCAGCATTATGAATAAAGGTAACATTTTGATCGTTCTACTTCATAGAAATGGTACCAGAAATAGTTGTCAGTGCTGAACCAGAACTATAAAAACATAGACTAACTTATAATAGTTCAAAATATGAGTTTTATATGGTCTTATGAGAACAGAGAGTTGTGAGTTTTATATGGTCAGTGGATTATGATAACAGAGAGTTGTGAGTTTTATATGGTTAGTGGATTATGATAAGAGAGAGTTGTGAGTTTTATATGGTCAGTGGATTATGATAAGAGAGAGTTGTGAGTTTTATATGGTCAGTGGATTAAGATAACAGAGATTTTTGAGTTTTATATGGTCTTATGAGAACAGAGAGTTGTGAGTTTTATATGGTCAATAGATTATGATAACATTATTTTTTTTAGTTTTATGTGGTCAGTGCATTATGATAACAAAGAATTGTGAGTTTTGTATGGTCTTATGACAACAGAGAGTTGTGAGTTTCGTATGGTCAGAGGATTATGACAACAGAGAGTCGTAAGATTTATATGACCTGACTAGTTATTTTGATAAAATCGAGTTGGGACATCCGATGGTATAAACTTCTTTAAAGAGTGTGATTTACTTGAAAAAGTGAACAGCTGGGAAATTAAATATTCATAAATATCAGGATCCCAAGGCTTAAGTACTTTTTAAGGTTCCTTACCTACCGTATCCTCCCAAAAAATGCCTGGCAACTATATAGGCACAAACAGTTAGAGTAGAGGCTCAGGCAGTTCAGTCCTGCGTTCTTAACGTGTCATTTACCCAGTAAACTAGGGGTGTATCCCATATGAAGTAAATGTTCTAACCTTTTGTGTTTTAGGACTATTCGTTGCAAGATACTGTTACTGGTGTTATATTTTTAAGCCTAACTACTATATGTTGAATAGTTTATGTTTTACGAGAAAAACATAATTAATACGAGAAAGATATGTATTACGTAGTCTTAAATCTATGCATATTTTCTTTAATACACTCTGCTCCTAGTGTAAGAAAAAAGGCTATTTCTGTTATAATGCTATGTTAGGCCTTCCGAAATTGAGAATTTTAACATGCAAGCTTTTATGAACAGGATAGAATAACTGTATATGTATTCTTTGCTAGTCAGTAATAAACTAAATATGTATTCTTTGCTAGTCAGTAATAAACTAAATATGTATTCTTTGATAGTCAGTAATAAACTAAATATGGATTATTTGTTAGTCAGTAATAAACTACATATGGATTATTTGTTAGTCAGTAATAAACTACATATGGATTATTTGTTAGTCAGTAATAAACTACATATGGATTCTTTGCTAGTCAGTAATAAACTACATATGTATTTTTTGCTAGTCAGTAATAAACTACATATGGATTCTTTGCTAGTCAGTAATAAACTACATATGTATTATTTGTTAGTCAGTAATAAACTACATATGGATTTTTTGCTAGTCAGTAATAAACTACATATGTATTCTTTGCTAGTCAGTGATAAACTACATATGAATTCTTTGCTAGTCAGTAATAACCTACATATGGATTCTTTGCTAGTCAGTAATAAACTACATATGGATTCTTTGCTAGTCAGTAATAAACTACATATGTATTCTTTGCTAGTCAGTAATAAACTACATATGTATTCTTTGCTAGTCAGTAATAAACTACATATGGATTCTTTGCTAGTCAGTAATAAACTACATATGGATTCTTTGCTAGTCAGTAATAAACTACATATGGATTATTTGCTAGTCAGTAATAAACTACATATGGATTATTTGCTAGTGAGTAATAAACTACATATGGATTCTTTGCTAGTCAGTAATAAACTACATATGGATTATTTGCTAGTCGAGTAATAAACTACATATGGATTCTTTGCTAGTCAGTAATAAACTACATATGGATTCTTTGCTAGTCAATAATAAACTACATATGGATTATTTGCTAGTGAGTAATAAACTACATATGGATTATTTGCTAGTGAGTAATAAACTACATATGGATTATTTGCTAGTGAGTAATAAACTACATATAGATTATTTGCTAGTGAGTAATTCTAAAATACAAATGTGTCATTATGCAATTTTTGTGAAAAACATTTTTTTATTAGTGTTACTTGTTTTACATTTGACGTTTATAAAAAGTTTAATCCGGATTACTTTCCTACTGTTGTATCAGATAACATACCGAACTACAAAATATACGATCCAAGGTTGGAGCCCACAATATACTGCTTAACACGCTTCTACTTTCAGTTTTGGGCTTATTAGAAATAGTAAACACCAAATGTGCATCCTTAAGTATTATTGGACTTATTACAAATACTAAACACCAAATGTACATCATTAAGTATTCTCGGACTTATTACAAATACTAAACACCAAATGTGGATCATTAAGTGTTCTCGGACTTATTACAAATACTAAACACCAAATGTGCATCATTAAGTATTCTCGGGCTTATTACAAATACTAAACACCAAATGTGCATCATTAAGTATTCTCGGACTTACTACAGTAACGTGCTTACTAGTTTCAATAGAAACAGAAATGTTTTGATAAAAATAAAAAAACAGCCAGTACATCTAAACTGATAATTTTGTGTTCGATATTTTAAGACTAATATTATTCAATTCAGATAATTATCTGTATACTAATAGATAATATCTATTAATGTTTTAAGACACACAATGAATATTTTTAGCTATATTTAACATAGAGCATATAAGAATATAAGGCTTAGTAATAATACTAGTATTCGTCTTTGATAAAGACTTTTCAGCTGAAGATCAGTAACGGATGAACGCATGTTGTTTCAATGATCTCAGTATACGAGAATCTTCGGCGAATCTTCACCTAAATTGTTGTTGTTTTTTCAAATATACCATGCATCAGCTTTCTCCAAACATAAGTACTGTTGCTGGCATCCATCAAAACGCCCACTGTTATTGTGTTGTTCTCAGGTGCTGATTCCCTTCCAAGTAAACATAGTAACTGCAGTAACAAAAGGAACAGGAGAAGATGTAATGCAAGGATAAAATTGACTTTCTGTCTTTGACTAAGCTGGAAAAAAAAAGAGGCTAGACATAATGTAAACGCAACATGTATAAAATTGAAGAAGAGAAGTGCACACAGACTACAGACAGAACTACTCTCTAGCTGTTGAGAGTTCATAAATCTCTTTGGAATCCCTATGAAATTTTGAGAACATTTGAATAAGACCCGGTGAGTTGAAACTATATAGAAGAAAAACAACGTCGTCTTTTACACAGGGCACGCACTACTTTCATCATGCTGGCCCTTCTATAACAAAAAATCTATATAAAACAGGTATTTTTTCTATATGAACAAGTATAGATAAAACAGGTGTTTCTTCTATATGAACAAGTATAGATAAAACAGGTTTTTCTTCTATAAGAACAACTATAGATAATGCAGGTGTTTCTTCTATATGAACAAGTATAGATAAAACAGGTGTTTCTTCTATATGAACAAGTATAGGTAAAACAGGTGTTTCTTCTATATGAACAAGTATAAATAAAACAGGTGTTTCTTCTATAAGAACAAATATAGATAATGCAGGTGTTTCTTCTATAAGAACAAATATAGATAAAACATGTGTTTCTTCTATAAGAATAAATATATATGAAACAGATGTTTCTTCTATAAGAATAAATATATATTTTCAAGATAATAAAACCATCGCAGGTGTGTGTGTTTTTATACATGTCTTACAGTAATTCCTGTACGCTGAATCCGAAAACGGTATCCATTTGTTTCCATCACGTACAGATTTTTCACAAAACGCATATGTACTTTACATATACTTTTCATTGAAATCGGGTCATATTTGGTTATGCTTAAATGTTGACAACCACAGGCCACATGACGTGTCATTTCTGGATAGTATTTGCTTATGCGTGCATTAGTTTTTTTTTCAATATTACTTATTCGTCGCTATGGCAACAAGAGCTTGTGTAAATGACCCAAACATATTCTGTTATACGTGTGGTAAATTTACTGTAAATATGATCTAAGTAAGAGTTTTTTCTTTCTGATTTATAAAAAATCCTTACGTGATAGAAAAAAATTAATATTAATTTCGAATTTTGCGTAGCTGAATTATGGAAAATCCGTTATTGAAATCAAAACAATTTTTATGAAGTTTAACTTTTCAGGCCTGTGTAATCAGACAAGCGGAAGGGATGGCTCTGATTTTTCATCGAAATAGTATCTTAAATATCTCCTCAGTAGGTCATCAGAACTTTACAGTACTATACAGTGTTCCTTTTATAACCATATTTATGTAATGACTGAGTCACAGTCCTAGGAATGTCTGTAAATATCATAAATGTTTGAATTTCTTGTTCTTTTTCTCCTTCTTTTTTATTACATAATAACTCAAAAAACAAAACAATGATGTTAATCAATTTCACTGAGGTGACATAGTTTAGAACGGAGTATCCGCTTTTATAAGTATTATTAACTAGTAGTAATTTAAAAATATCATAATTCTAGTGTAAACAATGTTATCATTACTCCCTGAAGTTAGCTTTCTTACAAACATCTGGTGTTCCTTTGAAAAAGCTTAAGTACAGGGTGAAACAGGAATTACCAGCCAATAATAGATAAACAATAACTATTACAGTTGGAACCTCACTGTATTTCGAACTTGGATATAATTTGTTTTTATTTTGTTCTTGTATAACAAATCACTTGATGACTTCTCAATTCAGATGTCCTATTTTGTCTGTAATGGATCAAAGTTACATTAAAATTGATTTGAAACACTTGATGGCTTCTTAATTCAAATGTACTATTTTGTTTGAAATGGATCAAAGTTAGATGACAAGTTTCACAGAATTATAACTAACAGAATGAGCAGGCATTTTACAGATGGGCTGAATGATCAGGTTAAATCCACCAGTATTCAGACTACTCTTCCGTTGGAGTTATTGACTAGAGTGAGAACAATCAACTAGTAGCACCCGTCGCCACAAGGGATCTACGATCTGATGAACATTATTGGCTGATACGTTTATAACGCGCCCAAGTGCGAAGCATTTTCAGCTGAATCACATTCTGAACTTTAGACCCTACGTTCCGCAGCCCGACATGCTAATCATTTGGTTAAGCTCGGTCTTTGTTTGTTAAAAGATTCTGAACAAATAGTGATATTTTTCGGTGACGGGATCCGAACCTGCGTCCTGCAAACCGCATGTCGATTGCGAAGCCATAGAGAGAACGACAGACAGATAGATGTAACTTTTATCGAAGATCAGCTTTTTTTAAAGTTATGAGAAATTTAAGCACAAATCCTAGTATTCGTAGTAGTTTCTTTGCTGTTTTTTTTTTACGTATGATTTAGCGTTTGTGATAACAACAGACGAAATATTAGAAGCCACTGTTTACAAATTTTGATCTTTTGACATTCTGTCCTACCTATTGTATTAATCACTGTAATGAACGTTTAACGTATCTAAGCAGTTTGAATGTTACAAAATCTCGCGTAAAATGCGAAATTGAAAAATTATAATAGTTTTGTGGAATATATTTAAAATGGAATAATTCATCTGATATACGTTTTAAAAACCTTTATTTAAATTTGACTAATACATTTAAATTAGATGTATCAAAACTGAAACGCACGTGTGCTATTTGCAGTACCATAAAACTACATTTTGCTAATGATATTTTAATTTGCTTCTATTTTTGTTGTTTTCCAAAGAGAAACTTCTTTAAAGATACTTTTTGTTAATTTGACAATCTAAAAAAAAGCTATATTCCACCATCTCTAATTTTGAACTACTGACAAGAGGGCAGCCAGTCAGAAGCATCATTCAACCAAACATCCACAATAAGGGTATGACTGCTACTCCTATAACAGACTCAAAGCTTAAAGTGCGAGAAATATTTTCTGGTATCGTACGGATTCGAATGCCAGTTCAAAGTTCAAAGCTTTATCATAGGATTAACCCGTGCCCAAACGAATATTAAGCGACGATTTTGATATTTTCAACCTGAAGGACACCTTATATGCGCATGAACAATATCACCATTTTAATGCATTCACAACTGAAATTACGATGTTTCTTTCGTAGTATAGTGAGGCGGTTCTTGTCCGCAGCCCATTACGTAAACCAATAGGCCACACACACACAGCCCATATAATATTATGAAACACCGACTCTTCTCTAATTCCTTCAGGGCTTTTTGAATGTTAGAACTCTCATTTTGCTTTCGTATGGTACTTTTCTTTGAATTAATAAAAATTGGAAACTATTCAATAGTGAAGTTGTGTTCATAATACATGCAGTTGTAGACTTTTACTTTAATGATAAAATGGTTTTTGTTTTAGTTCTATTGGAAATTTGGTTAAACAAATAGTATTGTAGCCTGCTGGGCACAATCTGGACCCATAATACGTGCTACAGTTGGAGCTGTGTTATTGTTAAATAGTTTATTATTGTTATTTATTTATTTAGGTGGATGCAGTGAGACAGATGGTGGAGGAGCAGTGAAGCCATCATCCGTTCATCTGTTGGTCCTCCTACTTGTCGTTCATTTTCTGAATCTGACGTTAATGGACCACAGCAGTGTTGGTGAAGACAAATAGTCCAATCATGTCGGTGGTGTCAATATTTGGTGGCTGTGAAGCTGTGATCATAGATGTTATTGAGCTGTGCATGTCCCAATACACACGTCTCTATTTGTTGTGGCACACTTGGACCACATCGTACGCCATTAAACTTGAGAACGAGTATTTTTGGTTTGTTTTTATTGGTCGACTGCTTGAATGTCCTCCCATTTTCAGGACCATAAGTATACATATTATTGTTGCTAACAATGTCTCCTGCTATATGCTATTTATGGAAGACGTACACATCCTATTATCTAAAAACTATTCAATAGTAAAGAGAAATATTTTTTGTTACCAGTAAAGCATGGTAACACATAGAATTGGTGTATACTATGAATAACATAAGAAAGTTTTAAAAGAAAATCGTGCAAGTGAGTCTAATTAAACTAATGACAGCCGATTTTTTCAAACTTGCCCCCAGTGACTCAGCGGTAAGTCTGCAGGCTTGCGACCCTAAAAATTGGGTTTCGATACTCGTGATTGCCAGAGCACAGTTTATTTGTTTGTAGTTAAGCACAAAGCTACACAATGGGCTATCTGTGTCGTGCCCACCATTAGTATAAAAACCCATCTTTTGGCGTTATGATTCCGCACACACATACTGCTTAGCCACTGAGGGGTGGGGGGTAAGCAGAGTCCAAATAGCTCATTGTGTAGCTTTGCGCTTAAAAGCAACCAAACCAAATTTTTCAAACTTAACGTACCCTAAATGATCAGCGATAAATGGTTCTGAAAAACATCTTAAACGATAACAAATGAATTAATTTAGTCTTGTAGATCTTTAAGTGTACATTGTGGAGCCTGTTTTGTAAAGATCGGGCATTGGTTAATGTCGAAGCAAGGCAACCTTTTTCATTTTTATAACCATGACGAAAAGATAAACCACATATTACTTTTTTAATTTTATCTCAACTTTGGGGAAAAAGTTAGTGCTTTGGGAAGTGGATTTTATATTTCATACATTATACTATCATGTTTCAGAAGTTATCTCGAAAGAGCATGTTAATATCATATGTATTTATTTAGACCTATTTTATAAAACGATGTAACTGCTCTTCTTACATGGTTTTTCCTATCTTTTGAAACAAAGAAAAACAACAATCTTTGAGTCAATTTTCATTGCTGTTTTTTTTTTCTTTTTAGAAATAACACACAAATTTCATCTCTTGAATAGTTTCTTACTTGTTGAAAGGCTTTCCTTAAGATTTATCTCGATATTAAGTGCAAAACTTAATATCAAAAAATACTTTCTATTCATAATTAATTGTAAGCCAACTTCGACCTGAAGGTTCAGGAAAGCATCATGAAAGAGCTAAATTAAGTACCTAATAACCATTTTTATTATTAAGATTACCTTTAAATAAACACCTCAAAGATTTTACTGTGTCTTAATATGCCACAAGTAGAGCCAAGTTAATAGTAATAAAATCAAATTAAATTATTCACTTTTACGCAGCTGAGTTATTGAATAAATCTCCAACAATATATAGTTAACTGCTAATATTTAAACCGTTCATACCGAGAAAGATAATAAAACTTTCATATAATCTCGTCATAACTATCTTGTTGGATAACAGGATTTCAATAGTTTTGTCGTATGTAACACTTGTTGGATAACGAGACATTAATAGTTTTGTCGTATGTAACGCTTGTTGGATAACAAGACATTAATAGTTTTGTCGTATGTAACACTCTTATTGGGTAACAATACTTCAATAGTTTTGCCGTATGTAACACATTTTTTGGATAACAAGACTTCAATAGTTTTGCCGTATGTAACACATTTTTTGGATAACAAGACATTCAGAGTCTTGAAGTGTGTAACACACTTCTTGGAAGACAAGACTTCAGGAGTGTTGCCGTATGTAACACTGTTGTTCGGTAACAATACTTCAATAGTTTCGCCGTATGTAACACTCTTGTTGGGTAACAATACTTCAATAGTTTTGCCGTATGTAACACTCTTGTTGGAAGACAAGACTTCAGTAGTGTTGCCGCTCACCATGTGTAACTCTCTTGTTATTAAAACTAACACCACACGTTAATAAACAATATTCATACCTTTCTTTATAATGTGCCTTGGAATATGTCGCTTCAAATGTAACTTGTACTTTGCTGACCTAGTGTAATGTATATTGTATTATTATGAAAAGCAAATTTACCGTTCCATTGTAATTGGTAAATAAAACGTGTTTTCCTAGGGAGTAAATGTTGTTCGTTCATTCAATCAAGTAATCTGTATAGTAGCAGAATAACGTAGTCTTCTGTCAATAGAAAGAGTAGATGATGAAGAGAAGATGTAAAACAAAGGTGTTTAAAACAGAAAATCTCAGTACAGAAGGTAAAATAGAAGCGTTTGTGTGAAGTCTTTTTATATTTGAATAGAGTTATTTAAACATTTGTTTAACAACAAGTAAAAGCTTGGAATGGTCTATTGTTTCATTGGGTGTGTGTCTGTGAGCCA